CTGAACCTTCTGCAATGCAATGACCAAGAGAAGGTTGCTTTTGCTACACATCAGTTGCAAGGTCCCGCTTCTGCCTGGTGGGACAACTACGTGGTAACCCGTCCAGCTGCAACGAAAGTTACTTGGGCAGAGTTTTGTCAAAGCTTCAGTAAGGCACAGATTCCTGAAGGGATTACGGCACAAAGGAAAAGAGAGTTCCGTGCATTGCAACAAGGAACCAGGACGGTTACAGAATACCTGCACGAGTTCAACCGCCTTGCACGCTACGCTCCTGAGGACGTGCGCACCGATGCTGAGAAGCAGGAGAAGTTTTTGTTTGGTCTTGATGATGAATTGACCAAACAGTTGATCTTCGGATTCTATGATGACTTTGAGAAGCTTATGGACAAGGCTATCCGTCAGGAAGAACAACGCAACAAAATGGACCGAAAAAGAAAGGCAGCTCAGATCAGCTTTCCTCAGGGGAACAATCAGAAGCCTCGCTTCATGACGGGACAGCTGGGTGGGCTTTCCACCCTGATCGTCCGTCAGCATCGTCCTTACCACCCGAGTAACTTCAACAACGACTACAACGGTGGCAGTCACAACAGCAGTGAGCAGCACAACCACAACTCGACTCCACCCCAACTAATGGCACTAGCTTAGTCAGATCTACCAGCTATGCCGGCTTAGTCAGAACAGCTCAAGAAGAAGTCCAGAGGAAAGCTAGGACCCTGCTTCAAATGTGGCAAGCACGGCCACTTTGCTGGCAAGTGTCCGAAGCTGAAGCGCGCTAGACCTAGGTTCGTCCAGGCCTGCGTCAATCATGCGTCTGAAAAGGAAGCACAGGCAGCACCAGAGGTCGTGCTGGGCACATTTCCAGTGAATTCATACCCGTCAACTGTTCTTTTTTATTCGGGTGCCTCGCATTCTTTAATTTCCAAGAGATTTGCTGGGACACAAAGATTATCAGTAGTGGAACTTAAAATATCAATGCGGGTACATACCCCTGGAAATGACATGAACACCGCACATTATTGCCCCTCAGTGACTATTGAGATCAAAAAATCACCGTTACTATCCAACCTCATCCTTCTCGAATCCAAAGATCTAGATGTCATTCTCGGAATGGATTGGTTGACCAGACACAAGGGAGTGATTGACTGCGCAAGTCGCACCATCACCCTAACCAATGACAAAGGGGAGAAGATCACTTTCCGGTCTCCAGTGCCACAGAAGTCCGTAGCAAGTCTGAATCAGGCTGCTATTGAGGAACAGATCGAAATAGCGGAGAAAAGTCCCAGGAAGTTGGAGGATATTCCTATAGTACAAGAGTATCCTGAGGTGTTTCCTGAAGACCTCACTACAATGCCACCAAAGAGAGAAATCGAGTTCCGGATTGATCTGGCACCCAGAACCGCTCCAATTTACAAGAGGCCGTACAGAATGGCAGCCAATGAGCTAGCAGAGGTCAAGAAGCAAGTTGATGAAGAGCTGCAGAAAGGGTACATCCACTCGAGTACTTCACCTTGGGGTGCTCCGGTTATCTTTGTGGAGAAGAAAGACAAGACCAAGAGGATGTGCGTTGATTATCGCGCCCTTAATGAGGTCACAATCAAGAACAAATATCTGTTGCCAAGAATTGATGACCTGCTTGATCAGTTAAAGGGAGCTAAAGTGTTTTCCAAGATAGACCTGCAATCAGGCTATCACCAGTTAAGAATTCGGGAAGAGGATATTCCCAAGACAGCCTTCACCTCTCGGTATGGGTTGTTTGAGTGCACGGTTATGTCATTTGGACTCACCAATGCACCGGCTTTCTTTATGAACTTGATGAACAAAGTGTTTATGGAATTTCTGGACAAGTTTGTCGTGGCCGGCCAGTCAGACCGACGTTGAGTGGCCGGTCAGACCGGTCTCGGCTCGGTTAGACAGCCATCAGCTCGGTCTGACCGAATACGACTCCGTCGGCTCTGTATCGGCCACCCCGAGCAACACCATCCCGGCCTCCAGGGGGCCGGTCTGACCGTAGAATAAGCCTTATTCTACGGTCAGACCGCCCGCTTGGGGCCGGTCAGACTGGCTAGGGCACGCCGGTCAGACCGCCACTATGTGGCCGGTCTGACCGCCCCTCGTCAGGCCGAGCCCTGTAAAAAGCAAAGTGACTGTGTGTGTGATGAAATGTGAGCACAAGTCTAAATGCATAATGACCTAACGTGGCAATTAAAATCATCTCTTTGCTAGGTCATTACCCCACTTAATAGTACGGCGAAACTAAAAATAAACTAGCAAATTTGATCGCCCTACACCTCGATCAATTCTAAATTAAAGCACTAGTTTTACCGTCTTCTTTCCCTTTGCTTTGCGCCGTCAATTTTAATCCATCGATAATCATCCATGCGCACATATGATGTGGACCTAACTTAAAATATATTGCTCAAAGATAACGGTTAGTTCACAATTAGTGCTTGTCATTAATTACCAAAATTAACACCGGGGGCCTAGATGCTTCACATACCCAAATTCTCTTGAAGACCCGAGGACTAAGAATACTATTCTAATTCCTACTCCACTAGCACTAGGATACTACTAAACTTGAGAGAGAGCTCTTGATTCTTCTTCTTTAGTGTGTGTAGAGAGTGAGGATGTGAGGTCCTTATATAGGGCAGTTAATGATGGTTAGGTGATGCGAAATGTCCATTCTGCCCTCCAACCGTCATTGAGGGAGGCATCCTGGACGTCCATGCCAAAACCTGGGATCAACGGCGGAGATGCATGGTTCAGCCGAACTAGAGACTGGCCCAAATGGCCCAATTTTCGACAGGCCGTCTTCCTGTTGGCTCCTCAGAAGGCCTAGTGGATCATGTGAATTTTGTGTTCTTGGCCCATTTATCCGTAAGTCAGGATCTCAACAGCATCCGATTGATTATTCATTTGTTTTCCGTCGATTCTCCTCCATTTATATGTGCTCCTACATACATGTTAGTAGCACAGTATATAGTGGAAGTAGATATTTTATTTGGAAATTATGCATTGCAAGCATAGCTAATCTTCAATAATTGTGTAATATTGACGGTCGAAATTGGTCGATAATGACCGTCAAACCCCCCAAGCTTGAATCTTTGCTTGTCCCAAGAAAAGGACGAAAGGAAACAAAGACTTGGTTGTTGATCCGGAGTTGCTGCAATGCTGTATATCTAGAATGTACAAAATGCATAGTATGGGTACTCTTACCAGAATCAAGTTAGTCAGCACGATGGCTTACCCATACGCCTAAAATGTGAGGCATCATGCTTCTCAAATAAAAACCAAGTTCCTCAAATGATTCTCTCAGTCCCTCATCGGTGTATAATTGTATTCCTCACCAAGATATTACCTTTTGTCCCTGTTCTAAGGTCATATATGTGGAGTTTGGTTAGGATCAAATGAGGCATACTTGAATTACTAAGTCAAAAATCTGGACCAAAGAAGATAGCAAAACATACTTCCGATCAAGATCGTGCAAGACAACAGGCACAGTCTATTGTGCCCCAAAGGGTGATCAAAGGGAAGCATTTTGGTTACAGGATAAACAGAATGGTTGAAAAGCTGTAGGATTGAGTTGTTAGTTAATATCCAAGGAGAACAAAAAAGTGATTTCTTAAGCAACAAATTAAGGGTGAGGTGCATGCTAGCAACATGGAATCACATCATGTTTGAGTATTTTGCTGATTTTAACGGAACACACATCGTCTTGATCATATATATTTACTGCATGAATAAATTCGAGAACCTAAGAAGATTTGTTTTCAAGAGAACTATGAAATTAAATTTCAGATAGCAAAAGGAAGAAGTTCTAAGGGCCAAGAGAACAAGCAAAATATTGCTAAAAACAGCAACCACTGCCATGCATCGCCAGAAATTAAATTACCAGGCGTGCCCTGGCATTCGGTGGTGGGTCGACTGATTAGGGTTGGAGAGGCAGGAGGGGATCTGTACCTATATAGAGGGCAGTAGTGACCGGCGGAGGTGGCGGCGGCCTGGACGGCGGAGTTCCAGATCGGTGTATGGACGGCGTGGAGCCGGCGAAACGGCGTTGATGGGGAGGACCGCGCGGGAGAGGAAGAAGGCCACGGCGTTCCCCTGCTCCCGCAGAGGCGGCGTCATAGAGGCTGTGAATTAGCGGTGATGGAGGGACCACATGGGAGGGAGAAGACCGCGGCGTCTCCGGAATCCATCGCACAGAGACCTCCTTCTCCCACTGCGGTGACGCCGGTGTGGAGGCGGTGGAGTCGGGGAAAGTGGGGGGTCGGCGACGGTGGCGTGGAGGCTATGACGGTTGGACAGCGTGGGGGAAAAGGGGGAGGGAAAGAGGGCCAACGAGCTGGCAACGTCGGCGTGAAAGCGGTGGAGTCGGGGAAAGTGAGGGGCAGCAATGGCGGGCATGGAGGCTGTGACGGTTGCACGGCGTGGGGGAAAAGGGGGGGAGCGCGGCGGTCAGCCGGTGACGGCGGCGTGGAGGCGGTGCGGTTGGAGGGCATCGGGGAAAAGGGGATGGGGGAGGTGGGAGGGGGCGGGAGTGCAGGTGGCGGAGGAGATATTCACACGAAGGGAGTGATGGATCGTTGGATGTCGTGATCGTACGGGTAATATCATGCGTGTCTGTTAGGTTGGAGTCATCGTCACCATACGGACTTTTTAAGTAGCAGAGATAGAGATTTCTATATACACTCCATGTTACTAGTTTAATACACAATAATTTAAACACGAATATTTTCAAAGTATAAAATTCAACAGCATTCAAATTTATATTTTCAAACACCATAAATTAAACTCAAATCCGTATTTTTCAGATATGAAAATAACATATCTTAGTAGCGAATGTTCAAGAGGAACAATGCGCAAGAAGAGCTCGCTGGACATACTGAACTCGGGGGTGGTGGTGGTGGTGCAGCTGTGCAGGTGCGCAGGAGAAGAAGCGGGCTTGAGCGGAAAGGAAAATGCGTAACCGCAAAAGTGCATAGTGGATCATGGGGGCAGTCTTTCTATTCTTAGAGCATCTCTAGTGTTTGGTTCGATTAGTACATCTGACGAGCCGAACAAACTTTTGGTTCGGCATCTGCAGTGTTAAAATCGTTTCATGGGACCCTCGAGAAGGGAATCAGCCAATCTCCTTCATGCATGCATGCATAACAAATGGTTTTTACTCCTTCGGTTCGACTCTCAAGTTGAGTTCGATTTATTCTCTGACAGGTATGATTCGATAGCTACAATGTGCACGGTTCGGTTCTTCAGCAGAAAAATCGATTTTGCTATCACACTGCAGATGCTCTTAGCTCCAATAGGTGTCCAGTGTCCAGTGTCCAGCTTAGGCCTTGCTGGAGATGCTAACGTTCTTCATTTTGGGGCGTGGGGCTGCACTGCTGATTCCAGAATTCGACGGGTCATATCATCATATCTTTCCGGGCTGTCAGGTTTTGCGTTGGCATTATCTCGGAGTACTCGATCAACTGGACCCACAATTACAGTAGTGATTACTCCTCCATTGCCATCATGCGATGCCATTAAACCTGACATTGGTCCCAATTAATGCAACAGCAAGATAAGAATCAAGTTTAGAATTTTTTTGAGATATTTTAACACAAATGAAAAATGGAATAGCTCATTAATTTGGAGTTTCTTTCGAAAAATGAACTTTTTGCTGAAAAAACCTGCTAGACACATGGCTAACTGCAATCAAATTTAAAGTGGAAAATTTTTACAATGTTTCTGGCCAAAAGAAAAGGCGTAACGTATTTAGTGATGTACATGCCTGCCCTGTTGAGTTAATTAGTTACACTTACATGCTTGGTTACAGTCATCTCCAATACCCATACTATTTTAAATGATGCTAGCTAGTGATCCGAATCTACCTCCAACATCACAAAAACTGATATGTACGACCTAACATCTCCCACATGAATGTTTTTGTTTTGGATAGCATTATATGCCTAATCAACTAACTATGTTATAAACTTGTAATTTTTGGTTTTGCTTTTATCTCTTAAAATAATTTGCAACGGCCTTTAGCTAGTTAATTTATAAACGGAATAAGTAGCCGTTTAGGAACACACAGGCACACGCCAAAAATTTTGAAAGGCATACGAGACAACTTGTCAATGGATTGCTGTCTCAAAAAAAAAAATCCTTCATCTTTTAATTTCAAATTCCATCGAATACATATTGTTAGGGAGTATCTAAAAATTGGAATTCGAACAGACTCAGGCTAACTTTAAACATTTTTTTTTCTAAATTCCAATAAATGATTCTTTTTTTAGAGGAAATATATATATATATCTAGCCACGGAGAGCGGACGGCCCAAAGTTTTACAAATTAATTTTGGACCAAAATATATAACCTCTCACCTGCAACTTAACACATAGGGTAAAAAAGTTTTTTTTAAATGTATCTATTTTGCTATTGTTTGTTGAGACAAAAATGTTAAAATATTTTAATGTGTTTTAGTATATTTCAATCAAACCTGAGTGCCTATGGCTATATACTAGTTTAGAATGTCATATGCCACCCTAAAAAAAAGAATGTCATATGCCAAATGCCACAAAACTATTATGTCCTATAGCAAGTTTTGAAAACAATAAAAGCAGCAAAATGTGTGTCGTCGTACTACATGGTGTTTAGAAATCATGTTTTAAATTGGGCATATATATATGCATTTAAATGGACATAATCTTTTTAAATAATTGGTGTGAAGTTTACAGTGTTTACTGGCATACTAAATTTGAAAGATTAGTTTCTCCCACGCCCAACAAGGACTTTACACAACGAAATCAGGTCATTTGCGCATTAACGAATTAAATTTTGTACTGCAGATATTTTGAAAGTTTCGACTTGTTTAATGATCAGTTTTTTTAATATCGTATGGAGGCCGGGATATATATGGTACTTAACTTTTTTTTTGTTTTGAAAAGAGGTACTTAACTAAAATTATATTGGATAGTAAAGCAAGTTCTGTAAATTAGTTTAACTTCCACATGCATGTGGATGGGCTGGAAGTCCAGGCTCATCGTCCAACCAATTAGAATATCCATACTTACAGTTATATATTTGTTCTACTTAAGAAAATAATTATTGCTTGAGCAGTTCAGTGGGTAGATGATACCATTTTGGAGAAGTGATTCCGTTGTTGGGGTGATCTGCGGTGTGCACTCGATTTCCACATTTGAGCTTGCAGTGTGTCCCTGGTTGCTACCTGCTGCTTCGATGACCATATCTTCCTGCGTTGACACCATAAATTAATTTCTCAAATATCTACTTGGCGTCGTCCTTTACAGGTAAAAAGCAGCCCATTTGTGATGAAAATGGAAGGAACTATCCTTGACGATTGGGAGGCCATCAACCCAAAGCTGTGCAACGGTCTCGGCAGGGCTCTCCCTAACAATTTAGGGATCATGTGCCAAATACAGAAAATAAGGCCTTACTTTTAAAAAGGACTAACTAGTACATATTAGATATTAGATCAGGGCTACTAGAGTACTAGTCGCCAACCCATGTGCTGCAGGGATTGTTATTAATTGCATACTATTATTAAATATTAACTTTTATTCTTATGTTCAATTATTAAATACTGTCGAATGTTATATCTAAACTCTGTTTGAAAGTTATAGTCATGCAATAATTTTATTTTATACAGTTAAAAAGATTAATGATTACAAAGTTGTGTATAGGGTCTATTATATTTTTTCCCGTTTCTTTCTATTTTATTAATGTAATTCAAAATTCGGACTTAATAAGTATCTGTTATACTCATGTCAAAGTCTGAAATTAGTATTTGCCTTAATTAACTTGGATAATTGAAATTAATAAGCACCAAGTTGTGTACTCAATCTTAAGGTCATAGATATTTCTTGATTTAATAATTTTAAAATTACAATCAATAAATTTAAGCCTTCTCGTTATATGTACGTATTTAATAAAATTAAGTCCTCTAGTCTAAATAAAAACCTTCGTAATTAGTAATTTTAAAATTTGTAATTTTAATAAACTGTAACGCCTATTCTAAGAAGTACTGTAAGGGGACCGAAGAACTCTGTTCATCCCTGTCACCGGTCAGTGCAAGTGGAGTCCGGAAGGACGATGACACCCGGACACCATGAACCACTATGGCTGTGTTCTTCTTCCTATTTTTCCAACACACCTCTCTCATTTTTCACACGCACGCTTTTCAAACTATTAAACGGTGTGATTTATGAAAAGCTTTCTATATGAAAGTGTACTTAATTAATCATGCAATAATATGAGCTTCGTTAATTTTGTTTGCCCCCGAACACAGCCGTGACATCGGCTCCTGCGTTCTACTATCGAGGCGCCAACTCCATCGATGACTACAGAGGCACACACGACACGAATGGCTTCAAATTCCACTGGTCAGTTAAATTCACCGAATTCTGCATATATAATGCTTAGATATAGAACAACTTGTAGTACAGTCGAAATTTTGATGTGAGAGGAGATGTCAAACCTGGGAAGTGTGCGGTGGAGATGATGTCACCGGCTGCGGACCGCTTTGAGCGTCAGCTTCCATATTGTCCGCAGGATTGCAGACCATCTGCTCTCCGGCGGGATTCTTCTTTTTGGAAGACATCAAGAAAAGGTATTTTTGGAAATAATACTTCAAACCACGGGTGTGAGGAGTTGTTAGTGAGGGAACACCTCCGTCGTCAACACCCATTCCTGAGGTGAATTCATCAGTTGGTGGCGCGGCTGCAACCTCCGATGGCGGCAGCGGCGGTGATATGCCACTGCCGGCCGACGACGAGGACCCCACCGAGCCACCGCCATCGTCGCGGTTGACTGTGGATGATCTAGATAGCCGGCTCCTATTTCTAGGAATACTGGGCCGCTGGTTTCCCGTGCTGCACCGGTCCGCCGAATGCCCCAATATCCGGCATGTCCCGCATAATATGCTCCCGACGCGCTCGTACTCCACGGATATCGACCTGCACTCACCATCTTCCAGCTTGACGTCGATGGAGGCGACCAGAGGCCGCGTGACATCGACCAGGATCCGTGCCCTGAAGAACGACGCGGCCTTGTCGGGGCACTTCACCAGCTCGCCGATGTGTGCGGCGAGCGCGTAGATGGACGCCTCGGATAAGTACACCACGGGGACGTAGTTGAAGTAGAACTTCACCCAGAGCTCGGCCTTGAAGAAGCGGACCTGATCGAGCAGGTTCACGTCGGGCTTGGCGCGCTGCAGGACGAACAAGTCATCACCGTCGCAGCACCACGGCGCGCCGTCCAGCACTCTGGCAAGGTCAGCTCTCTCGTAGAACTGGATCAGGAAGGCACCGTCCGTGGCTCGCCAGAAGTTCACCGCGCCTGATGGATTCCAGTCTCGGAGAAGCTTGGTTCGCAGCGACGCCATGTGCTCCGGTGCTCCTCCTCCGGCTGATGAGAGGAGCCTTCCTACGTACAGAAGGCTGGAAATGCTGCTCTCCTCCTCGCTGTGGAGGACGTTCCTTGATAGCGCAATCGGCCGGTTGCGCTGCTGAGAAGACAACTCCTGACCATGGCGTGCCAATTGCTGATCGCCGCCGGAATTGTTCATCGTTGCGGTCAAGCGAAGCGAGACGATGCACCGGCCGGCGACGGGGATAGGAGGGCGAGAGAGAGAGGGATATATATATGATCTTGCACATCAGTTCAATCAAAGAGTTTTCTTACTTTCAAGATAATTATTAAGGAAGTCAAATTAATAATTGCCACCTAATGTGGTTGAAGAAGTCCATAACGATTAGCTCCAAATTGTCACAATATCATGATACTGATCCGAACAGTACATTAGACCAAGTATACGAAGCAAGCTGATACACACTCATACACCAGAAAAATCTTCAATGAGATTTCTTTTTTAAAAACAATAAAATCATTGTCGCAAAGGAAAATTAACAAAACTAATATACACGGAATTCCAGTCAAGGAGTTTATGCGTGTATGCAAGATGACTACTCCGGTTGTGGTCAACTATTTAATTTATCTTTTTTGTTTAAATCTTAGATATCCCATTCAAAAAAACCAATGAATAAAATAAGTCGAACACATTTCTATGGAGGAAGAACTGTTTGGATGGTGAATGTAGGAGTTTTAGAAGTGACTGGAAAGAAAAATTTAAGAGCAAATTAACCCCACATTTTCGATGGAAGGTAATTCCAGAGAATTCCCTTCTTAAGTAGGATGAGATAAATACGAGACATATACATCATCACTTAAAATTTAATTCTCACAAACATTCTTCATAATTTTTATCTCTATCTCTACTAACAAAATCAAGGAACGAGAAGCAAAAAAGAAACTCCCATAACCAATCTATCACTCCTCTGAACTTTTAATCCCCTTCCCCTGAATTAAACAAGCCGTAAGTTGACTGGAAGCTCGGTCAACGCTTGAAACGGCCGAGCGTGTCAAGACATATATGATAGTACCGTTGACCCGTATAGGTACGCGTAACTTACTACTCGAGTATTAGGTAGAGACGCGATGTGGTGGTTTGGAGTAACTTACTTTAGGTAGGGACGCGTGATGGTAGTTTGTGACTTCATTACTTAGCTAACCGCGTTGGCAACCTCGCGTTTAAACGCAACGGACTCGAACCGACAATGGTTGAGTCGGTCATGCATTAGGTTGCACGCTGAATGATTAGCCGATTTATAATTCTAAACATGTTTTAACAGGATCCCTAATCGGAAGGTATACGTTTTGTAAAGGATATATTCTACCAGCTTATTATTATTTTGGTGCAACTTGTAGAGGTACGTAATTAATTACCATAAAAAAAGAAACTCCTGGCCTATCATAATTTTGATGCAACTTGTGACGTGATTATTATGCCTATCAACAGCATGGATGCTTTAGTTCTTTGGACAACCCGCTGAAACGACTTTGAAGTTTTCGACGTCAACCTCCTGCTGCTGGCCTTCGCGCAGGTAGGTATAACATGCAACGCGCATCACGTAGCTTCTTCGCGCAGGTAGGTATAGCTAGTGCATGCATAGTACGGTAACATGGTCATGAAACCGAATTCAGCGCAAGCACGAGGAGGAAACGGAGGGATGAGCTCGTACAGCACCAGCTGGACGGACGTGGTGATCGATCGAATCCACGGGGAAGCGAAGAGCGCATACGAGTCCATCCCTCCGTACTTTCGAAGGTTCGATGCCTTCGGAAACGACGAACACCCTTCCATTTTCAAGCCTCGCCTGAAGCCGCAGGTGAACCAGCTTGAGCTTTTTGCTATTACTACTACTAGTCCTGCTCACGGTCCGGGACAGCCACCGCTGGATTCCGCCGGCGGAGAGCGTGGGCAGCTGCGGCGGCCTCCGACGCCAGAAACGGACAAGGACCACATAGTCGTTGCTGCCGTCGGGCCGTACCACCACCGCACCGCATCGGCGCAGCAGCAGCCGCCGCCACTCATCACTTGTGCCAAGAAGTGTGGCATCGTCAAGTACCTCACTGGCTCGTTCAACCTTGACGTCGTCGGCTTCCTACAATGGGTGCAACGCAACGAAGAGCGAGCGCGGCGCTGCTACGAGCGGGAGTCCTTCCAGATGAACTCCCATGAGTTCGCCGAGATGCTGCTGCTCGACGGGTGCGTCCTGCTCTTCGCCATCTTCCTTCTCAGGCCGAGCATACGCGAGGACAAGCTGCCGGCCGAGCTGGCTGCCGACGCCGATCACGGGAGGGAGTTCAGGAACCTGTCCGCACATATATCCTTCCACATGAAGCAGACCACGCTGGACCTGCTGGTGCTGCACAACCAGATCCCCTTCTTTGTGCTCACCGAACTGCACAGCCGACTCAAGAACACCTTCTTTGCCGGCGTCAACTACAGCTTGGAAGAACTCGCTCTCTCTTGCTTCCAGGACGTCCACCCGTTTGGTTTGAAAGAAGGCGATCTGAGCCCGACGACACAGAGAGACGGAGGTGGCAATGGCGGCGGCAGCGGCACTGAACGGTTCCCACAACGAGTCCATCATCTGCTGCATCTTTTCCATTGGTCTCTAGTGCCTGGACAGAAGTATGGCGTGGACATAAATTCCATTCCACCGAGGGAGCCAGAGTCACATCTGCCCAGCGCGACCGAGCTAGAGGAGTCGCTCACCATCTTCACCAAGCAGAAGGATGCCAAGGGTAGCAGGAGCTCCTGCTGCTTGGACATCACCTTCGAGAGCAGTAGGATGGCCACGCGCGGGGTGATGCGCCTCCCTGCGCTGCACATCCACGGGTACAGCGAGGCCGTCTTCCGCAACCTCATCGCCTTCGAGCAGAACCATCTCCGCTGCGGCCACGGCGTCACCACCTACGCCATCTGCATGGCTCGCCTGCTCCAGTCTGACGCCGACGCGAGGTTGCTGAGGAACAGCGGGATCCTGCCGTACACGCAGCGGACCGACAAGGAGATCGTCGACTTCTTCAGGCAACTGGTCGACGAGTGCAGGAACACCTGCATGCCAGATGATCTTATTGCACTCTGCAAGGATGTGGCGGCGCACCATCAGAGCACAGGCGTCAGGGTCATGAAAGGCTTCGTGCTTCAGTGCTTCCCCAAGCAGACCATCACTTTCTTTGTCATCTTCGGTGCCATAATCTCCATTGCCACACTCATCAATACCGTCCACTCCATGTATAGATACTATCACCCCCGTGGAAACCTTCCTCCCATGGGGAGGTGATCGAGCTTTCGTCGTCGGTCGCACATGCATGCTTGTCAGATAATCCACTATAATGGTCGTCTTGTGGTCGCGATCATGTCGCGCGCGTCTGGCTTGATGCACGCTGTGTTCGTGCAGAGAGTCAAAGTCTTTGTTTTCTCAGAATAGAGCTCGTTTTGCGTGTGTCATGGATGTCTGTGGGATGGCGTGGATTCTCAGCAAGTCGTGGCATAAGGCCTTTCATGGGATGGCACGGTGGCGTGGTTTGTGGTGAGTGCAAATGTGTGAGATAATCAACATGCTCTGTTGTTTTTACCTTCTATAAGTATAGATGGCCAAAAGGCCCGAGGCTCGACGGCCCGGCCCATAGCACGGTATTTTGGCCCGGCCCAAGCACGGTACGGCCCGACAGAGGTTGGGCCCGTGCTGGCCCGGCCCGACCACCGGGCCGTGCCTGGGCCCCTCCACTGCCGTTGGCCCGGCCCGGCACGATGGGCCGGTAGTTAGGCCCGATACACAAAAAAATAGAGGAGTAAAAATAGACATATTATATGCCATGCACGAAAGAATAGGGATCTAAAATAGACTTTTTTTATCTATACATATGTCAGCCAAAGAGGAGGGACAGAAAATAGACTTACTTTAGCTATACATATGTCAGCCCAAAGAGGAGGGACGGAAAATAGACTTATTTTAGCTATACATATGAAATAGCCCAAAGAGGAGGGACGAAAAATAGACTTATTTTAAAAAAGGCCCGATGGACCACCCATGCCTTCGGGCCGGCACGGCACGGCCCGACAGCTGGTGGGCCGTGCCTGGGCGAGAGGTGCAGCCCATGGGCCGGCACGGCCCGGCACGAAGTGTCTATCGGGCCGTGCCGGCCCGATGGTTGCTGGGCCGTGCCCAGCCGTGCCTGGGCCGGGCCGTGCCGGACGGGCCCTTTGGCCATCTATATCTATGTGTGGAATGAAGAGAAACAGATAAGTCGTGAAGCTGCCAGCACCAAAATCTCTCTCTCGTGTTAATCTTCTCCCTTCCCTACAAGGTGTTTGATATGGGTTTCGCATGTTGCAATGGCTCCGGGGCTGATAATTGCTACCAGGGCATATCAGCTCTAGTCTTCGCCATGAGCAAGCACCTCCAAGTGACTGCCTGAAACCTGGCTCGCCTTTCCACGTCGACAACCATATGCAACTGCAATTGGTGGTTGGCGTGAGTTCTGATTCTAATCTCTCGGGCGGACGTCCATCCGTTTCTTGCATGCCACCTAAATGATTATGAAAAAATTCTAAAAAAATTCACAAGATAGTTAACATGTAATATATCACTTCACAAACATGCAAGTTCAAATTTGACTTCTATAAGTTGTAACAAAAATAACAAATCAAACTCTAACTCATATACGTATATTCACAGTCAAATTTGTTATTTTTGTTACAATTTGTAGAAGTCGAATTTGAACTTGCATGTTTGTGAAGTGATATATTACATATTAATCTATCATGTCAATTTTTTTGAAAATTTTTCATAACCATTTAGATGATATGTAAGAAACGGGTGAATGTCCACCCGAGTGTTTAAAAGAGTTTCCCGTGAGTTCGTGTGAACAAGGATGCAAATAGATGACCTGCTTTCTTTTTGTGTCAGAAGATGTCAGGTCGCCTGTGCGTATGGGGATCTTTAGTGACTAAATATCTCCCTCCTATGTCTTAACTGGATCGAACCAGAGACGAGAGATTTAGACTTCCTCATCCTTATCTCTTAGCGATAGACCTCCTCATCTACATCTTCTCTCGCTATCTCTCTCTGTACTCTCTCTCTCTCTGTGTGTTTTTTTGAGAACTCATGTTTTTATTTAGAGTAAATTTCACAAAACGACATGTTTTGTGGTCTATGTTGCAGAAAACTACACACACTTTGACACTTGGCACTTAAATACATATATTTTGGTAGTGTAGTTTCACAAAACTACACTGTCAATGAATGAATTCACACGCGAGATGATGTTGTTGTCCACCTAGGACGAGGACGTGGCATCGTGGGACAAGCTGGACTTCTATGCGCATGGCCCACTAAAACTGCTGCAACTAAATATACGCACATATGTGCCTTCCAATCCCAGCACGATCTCACGATTCTGCCTCCTCATCTCTGTCGTTTCGGAGGACGACGGGGTGTTGACGCCAGCACCGGCGCCGGCCGCTGAGTTCATCTTTGCCAAGTGAGTAAGTTCCATCCCATTAGTCCTGCTATTCTGTGCTACTCAGTTTCCAATCTCCTCTCTTTTGTTGTGTCACCATCCACGCTCCTGTCTTGTGTTATGGAATTTGGTTAAAAGTCAAAATGACCACAAAATCGATTTGATGCTCATGACTATATAATTGGGGATCCCATATAGCTGAACCGAATTTACATACTGATAGTAAGACAATAATAATTTTCTAAACAATTTAGACATGTTCTACTAATCAGTTATATAATCCATGTTTATAGTGGACTGGTACAGCAACCCAAGAGATACCATTTACTCATAGGTTATTAAACTAATCCTTTTAGACCTCACAATATGTATATGTGTTAACAAAATCCTTGTGTCTACATCAGTAAATTGAATTATATGTACATATTATTGTTTATCTCCAAGCTGAATTTAGGTCTGAAAGTTATGTTCTAATTATCAGAATGGCTGAAGAAGTTTGGACATTGCGGTTTTTCAAGCATGATCGTGGTCCAGGGGCAATGGTTGTTGAGGAGCCAATGGATCGAGACCTTGTCTGCTTTTTCAATATGGTTGAGATAATAGAGAAGCTTGGGTACCAGAAAAGTGATGAAATATTTTTTGCCCAACCTGGATGTTACTGCCGCACATCAATGACAAGAATCAAGGGTGACAGCAATGTCATGGACATGCTTAGGGAAAACGATAGCATAAATAAAGTTGACATACATATTTTTGACAGAAAAGTTGCCTCAAGCAGTGCACTAGAAGAGGATGTTGTTGCAGATGCCACTGATAATGTGGAGGCAAATAAAAATAGAGATTTAGAAGAAAAAGGATCTGAACAGTTGAAGAACAGTGATGAAGACTTGTGGATGGACCAGGGTGATAATACATTTCTCTTTGTTGATGGTAAAGAAGATGAAGACTCAGAATATAGCGATGATGATTTTGACCTTGATCAAGAGAAGATTGACTATATTCATAAGCTACAGGAGATAAAGAGACAACGAGCTGACCCTAGGAATCGTTGTGAAGGTGATACTGATGATGAGGATTTGTTTGTCCCTGTTGTTGATTGGAGTGCTCTATCTGTTGTTCCGGTGGACTCTAAGGATGTGGCAGAGGCAATATCAAACAAGGCTCAATGTGGTGTTGTCAATATTCAAGATGGTACAGATGTTGCATCATCAAATTTGCAAAAGAAGAATAGCACTAAGGCGAGTAGGAATGTCAAAGGACAAAATGATGTGGGGTCTTCTCAGGTTGAGGAAACTGTTTTTTCTGATCCTCCAAGTGAGGATGGTGGGGCTAGTGCTGTTGAATATGAAAGTAGCGATGATGGTCAAAAACTTGATGCACAAGCTAAGAGGAGGAAGAGGAGAAGAAGAGAGAGTAGGGTGGTTAACAGGAGGATTTACTTTGATGAAGATAACATTATGGACACCACACAATTACAGGAGGCTATGTGTTTTACCAATGTCGACCAATATAGAAGGGCTTTAAAATCCTATCACATTGTCCAAGGAAGAGACTACAGATACACAAGAAATGAGCCCCGTAGGGTCAATGTTAAATGCAAAGAAGAAAATTGTCCATTCATCATGAGGGGGTCTCGAATTGCTAGAGAGCACACTTTTATGCTGAGGGAGATGATACCTCATACATGTGGGACAACGAGAGCGAATTCAAGGTTGAATAGCACTTGGTTGAGTTATAAATACCTCGAAAATTTTAGAAGTGACCCTGATTGGAAGGTTAGTGCGTTACAAGATCAGTGCATGAGAGAATTAGGTACTGATGTTTCTAAGACCATGGCATACAGGGCTAAGAGAAAGGCAGGAGAAAAAGTTCTTGGCAATCATAAAAAACAATACATGAGAATTAGAGATTACCTGCAAACTGTCATTGATAAGAACCCAGGGAGCACAGCAGTTGTGTCAACTGTGGATAGAATAGCTCTAGGAATGAATCCTAGATTTTATGGTCTCTTCATCTGCTTGAATGCCCAGAGACAGGGATTTCTCGATGGTTGTAGGCCATTCATAAGTAAGTTTTATCATCTTTTTTTAGTTTTTCTGAGTCATGTCCATAATTCTAAGTCTACATATGAATGGCAGGCATTGATGGGTGCTTTGTAAAGCTCAGTAATGGAGCCCAAGTGCTAGCAGCTACCGGTAGGGATGGCAAAAATAACCTATTCCCAATAGCATTTGGCGTTGTTGGAAAGGAAGACACAAAAAACTGGAATTGGTTTCTTGAGAGGTTGGAGACAGCCATCGGTAGAGGAGAAGCGCATGGAGGATGGACAATACAGACAGAAGGTATTACCTATGTGTTCTCTAAATGCTGGTAACTTGTATAACTAGTACTTATATTATGTCACAATGGGTGCAATGTAGGGGCTCATGAATGCAGTGGCTAGAGTTTTCCCAGACTGTGAGCATAGATATTGCAAAAGACATCTCTTGGCAAACATGGCAACAGCTGGTTATAGAGGAGAGAAATACAAGAGCTTTGTTGATTCTGCAGTCTATGCTTACACTGAATATGATTACAACAGAGCAATGGATGCATTAAAGGCATTCAATGCCAAAGCATGGAAATGGCTTAATTATCTTGGCAAAGAACATTTCAGTAGACATGCTTTCTCCTCTAGGAGCAGGACAGACCTAGTTGTGAACAATCTTAGTGAGGTGTTCAACAACTACATTATTGAGCTTAGGGACAAACCCATCGTAACCATGCTTGACAAAATTAGACAAAAACTAATGGTCAGGGCAAATCAAAAGAGAGACGGAGGTCAACAAGCAATGTGGGAGATCACCCCGGTAGTAGTCGGGAAATTGGAGGTAGAGAAGAAATATGCTAGGTACTGCAATGCTTATCAATCAGGTGTTGGTTTGTGGGAGATTTTAGGATCGGAGAGGCAGTATGAGGTCAACTTATTTTCTAGAACATGTGGATGTAACAAATGGCAACTTACCGGAATACCTTGTAAGCATGCCGTGACGGCAATATTTGCAGCAAAAGAGAGGCCTGAGGATTATGTCGATGAGCACTTTAGGAAGGAAGCTTACCTTCGAGCATATGCGCCAGTTATCTATCCAGTCCCAGGAGAGCATGATTGGACAACAACTGATTCACCTGACATTGATCCTCCTAAGTTCACAAAGCAACCAGGAAGACCAAAGAAGAGTAGGAGGAGGGGTCAAGATGAAGCTCCCAAGGTAACCGGCAGAGCAAGAATGACAACCACAACATGTACTAATTGTGAAGGGATGTACCACAACTACACGACTTGCAAAAAAAAGTTGAGGCCCGATCTGCAGATAAGACTCGATGCTCTCAAGGCAATACTAAATTTCTCCTTTTATGATTTAGTTCAATATTACTCCATTTTGCAATGTTGTAATGTTTGTTTTTTTCTATAGGCTAAAAGGTCGCATGAGCCAGAAAACCAAGCTCAAAGATCACATGAGCCAAGTAGTCAAGATCACATCAATAATCATCAACCAAGTTCATATCAGCCAATCAATGAAGGGGGAACAAGCAGGGGAAGGAAACTTGATTCAAGGAGGGGGTGTGCTATAGGAAGCACCATGAAGGAAAATGCTAGAGGAACTACAGACAGGGGAAGAGAAAATGCTAGAGAAACTATAGTCAGGGGAAGAGGAAATGCTAGAGGAACTATAGTCAAGGGAAGAGGAAATGCTAGAGGAACCACAGTTAGGGGAAGAGGTCTAGGGCACACTTCCCTCAACCAATGGATCCCATAGAGAATTCATCCATGTGTTCCTCAGTCGTTAATTATCTTTATTTAGTTGTTACCAAGGATTTTATTATGTGACTTGTTTTCTGGTCAATGATCACCTTTCTATATGGTTGTTTTGAGTCTATTGTTCTTACACTATTTGTTGAGCTGGTTATTAAGAATACTTGTTGATCAAACTAGATGTGTGAGCATGTCTAATGGAGCATTATACCATTTTTATTTCATTTCAAAGTTCCATGAGTTTAGGTCTGTGGGCGGTGGCAGGTGGAGGACGGTGGGCGGTGGCAGGCGGCGGACAACGGCCAGCGGCGCCCTCTCATCTGTCGGAGGTGAGGCACGAGGCGGCAGCGGCCGCGCCGGGCGCGTTGGTGGAAAAAATCCACGTGATAACTATAATTTGTGTGCTGCGTGGGGTTCGAACCTAGGACCTCGTTCCCACCAGCTATGCGTGGTAGCCACTTCATCTCTTGCAAGTTTTTGAAAAGTTTGCAAGTTACAGGTAGTTATACTCTAGTTACACCCTAGTTAAATTGTAGTTACACTCTACTTACATTGTAGTTATATTGTAACTATAGTGTAACTATATTATAACTATATTGTTATCTCTATATTTATTAGATATAAAGTTGCATATAATATTTTAATACATATATACAAGTTATTATTATTATAGTATATAGTTCTAGTGAAATTATATACTGTAGTTAGATTTGAATGTTTTCCCCTCAAAAAACACTCGATAGTTTTTTAGCTAATCCGTTTTTTTTAAGAATTTGTGATTCATTGGATCTGTGTTATTTGATCTGTGATGTATTTTTTTTAGAATTTGTGATGTATTTTTTTTTTGACAATTTGTGGTGCAAATCTTACGATTTTTGATGTTGTTACTTTGATTTGGGGATGTAAGGAGCAACTGGATTTGGAATTTTTGATGATTTTGTTGTGGATGAATTTGTGGATGATTTGAGTATGATTTGTTAATTTGTGGAAGAATTTGCTAAGGTGAAGAATGCAAGCCAGCAAAAAACAATGAAAAAAAAGAAAACCGGGACTAAGATGCCATGTTGCGCTACCATCTTTTAACCCGGTTGGTGTTACCAACCAGGACTAAAGATAGATCTTTAGTCCCGGTTATTTCAACCGGGACAAAAGATATGTTGCAAACCGGGAGTGAAAAGGCCTTCCCCAGTAGTGGGGCTTGGGAAAATAATTGATCTTGTTGTTTGTTTTTAGTTTTGCAATAGATATGAATTATATTGGAAGGCAGTAATTGATTATACTTTTCGATTGTCCACATTTCCACAACAACCAACTCAAGAATGTTACTGAAGCAAATAATTTGGACTAACACTACTACAGAAACACAAATAGGTGCCGGTTGGGAAACCCCCATAGGTTCCGGTTTTCCCAACCAGCACCACGAAGGCGACACTAATAAGAAAAGAAATAGATGCCGGGGTCTAAGAACCGACACCTTTGAGGTTCCACAAATAATGAAAAATCGGCTCAACGCATTAGCTCGTCACATTGAGCAGAGCAGTCCCTCCTCAAACATTCATCCACACCACAACAAGAACTAGCATATCATCATCTATCCATCACATATCCAATCCACAGATCGATTCATCCACAACACAAATTTTGACAATCAAATTCCTCCCAGATCTTGGCAATAAAAAATCCACAGATGGATTCATCCACATATCAATCCATTCATCCACAACACAAATTTTAACCCTCAAATTCATCCCAGATCTTAGCAATAATAAAAAAAAAAGAATCCAGACCACTCTGCCGTTGTCCCGACATCGTTGTCGTCGCACGGTTGTGTAGCCACCGCCATAGTCGTCGTCTTCGAGCTGTCGCTCCGCCTCCCCCGGTGAACCCGCCGCATACCCCTGGCGAGACCGCCGCCGCCTCCATCTGCGAGCCCCGCTGCCCCTCTGCTGCCGCCTCCCCTCCCGCCGGATCTAGCAAAGGGGAGGGGCTTCTCCACCTTTCGCCGCCGCCTCCCCTAGGCAAGCCCGCCGCCTGCTGCCGCCTACCCCCAACGAGACTGCCACCTAGACCGCCGCCTCACCCCAGCGAGCCTACCGCCGCGAGCCCACCGCCTACCGCCACAGAGCTGGTAGAAGAAGAAGAGATAAGGGAGGAGGAGAAGAAGCGATAAGGGAGAGAAAGTGGCAGAGAGCTAGTGGGAGGATGAGAAGAAGAGATAAGGGAGAGAGAATGGGAGAGAGAGCCGGTGGAGAAAAAGACACCCACCGAGCTCGGCTCGTTTACAATAGGTGTCGTTTTTTACACCTTTAATAAATTAAAGGTTTTGTTTTTTTCAAATAACCGGATATATAGTATAGGTGCCGGTTTTTCTTTAAAATAAATAATAATTCTAAAATTTTTTGAATAAGACAAATGATCAAACAGATCAAGCAAAAAGTTAAAATCCCTTATATTATGGGATGGAGGGAGTACTATTTAAGGTCCATTAATATCAATTATTATATGATATCAATTATTATATGAGTATAGGGAAAGGATCAATGTTTGCTTGTAGCCTAATATAAAATTCAGTATAATCGATAAAACTATATATTGCGATAAATTAATTTCAAAAGTCGAATCTAAATTATCTCAACCAGACTAAAGAGTGGTTTCTTTTTGTTATTTTACTTTCATTTTGTAGTGGAAGTTTGAAAAGACCAGGGGCAATTTTACAAATGCCCTAATAAAATTGTGGTCTCAAAGGGTCACGCTTTTCCGTTACGCTTTTCCGTTGATTCATCCAAGCACTCTTTCGAGTCCTTGTCCGAAATTTCTTAACCGCCTGTAATTTACACCTTTTTTTACCAGTTATAAACCTTCCAAGCAGGCTTGTAGCAAATGGGATCATAGGATGCAGGGGTACAAATGGGTGGCAGATATAGCTGACGGCCGGATTGACGGTGACAATTCTACTACAGTACCTGAAGCCTTGGGGACAGCTCTTTTGATTTTTTTTCCTAGGCAAGAAAAGTTTAGTAACATTGTAACATCACATTAGTTTCACTAAATTAATATTTAATATATTTTATAAAATGTTTGTTTTTATTGAAAATGATACTATATATTTTTAAAACTTGGTTAAATTTAAAAACACTTAACTAAAAAAAGCGAAAGCAACTTATAATATAAAACGAAGAAAGTATATATTTGTTCTGTGCCGCAGAAGACTTCTCGTACAAGTAAGAGTGTCTCTAATAGCCTCTTCAAGTAACTCTCCAAACTAAATTTTGGTAATTCTAGAAAAAAATTCGTGCTCAAACAACCTCATTAACAACTGGCCTAATCTCTCCCTTTACTAGCTAAATTTGGCCAGCCAAAGCAACTTGCCAATGGAGGGCCTGAGTCGGGCCGCCCGACGTACTATTCCTCCTCGTATTTCTCTCGTGCCAGCGTAGATGAGGCGTCACGACGGCCATTGGGCAAAGCCGTGGAGGTGAGGTGGCGGCTGTGCCGAAGCTTGGTCCCTAGTGCTCTGGATTTTTCACATTTTGATCCTTTTAAAAAATTTATTTCGCAAATAGACCCCTGAAAAAACTTATCCCAGAAATGGTCCTTTTTGGGGCGCCAGAGTGGCTGGCGCCGTCAGGCTGGCGCTGTCCTCCTGCCACCATGGCGCACGCGAACCGACGTGGCAGGAGGAGGGCGCCAGCCATGCTGGCGCTGCCGCCTCCATTCCTGTTTCTCTGTATGGAGTTGCAACGGTGTCATTTTTATTTTATTTTTTCGGATGTTTTTTCACACTCAGGATCACGATACAACCAACCACAAAAAAAATTTAAACTCGAACTACCACTTAGGTAAGTCTGAAAATATCTAGCATACCACTTAGTCTACTTTGCACCTTCACTAAAATTAGACCATAACTCCTTTAGTAAAACCCTTTGATCAGCATGTTAAACATAATACACTCTACCACTATATGAAATTACTTAATCTAATTCAAAATATAACCACATGAAATGACATATATAAGTTAAACAGTACATAGAGATGCAATTTTTTTATTTTTATTTCATTTTTTTGATATTTTTTTCACACTTAGGAGAACATAGGAACCAACCGTATAAAAAATAACTCAAACGGACAAAATATGTGACATGTAGAATTTTCCAAAACTCTACCGAAACGGACAAAATATGCCATCTATTAAAATAGGCGTAACTTTCCCATACGGACTCAGAATCAGGCAAATAATATATGCACGGACATCTACAGAAAAAGTTACATCCGATTCTCTCCCGCTTTGCCGGGTTCGGCGATATTAAAACCTCCAAATTCCGCTTGCAAGATTGTGTTTTCGAGGAGAGAAGTTTTTCGGTGGAGCTTTGGAAAATTCCACATGCCACATATTTCGTCCGTTTAAGTTTATTTTTTACGTGGTTGGTTCCTGTGAGTTCCTAAGTGTGAAAAAAATATCAAAAAAATAAAATAAAAATAAAAAAGTTGCACATCTCTCTCCTCTGCACTAGTTCGGAGAGAGGAGAGGAGAGGAAAAATTCTACATGTCACATATTATGTCCATTTGAGTTCAATTTTTCTATGGTTGGTTCTTGTGTGTCCCTAAGCGTGAAAAAAATATCAAACAAATAAAACAAAAATAAAAAATTTCGGGGGGGAGGGGCGCCAGCCACTCTGGCGCACTCCCCCTAGCCACCTCAGCATCGCCCCACCACGTCGTCGGTGGGACGGCGCCAAAGAGGCTGGCGTCGTCCTGTTGAATGACGGCGCCAGCCACTCTGGCGCCCCAAAAAGGATCATTTTTAGGATAAGTTTTTCTAGGGATCTACTTGCGAAATAAGTTTTTCAAAAGGACCAAAATGTGAAAAATCCAGCCCTAGTGCTGGCGGTGTAGGAGGGCTAGCTAGCGGCTAGTGCAGAGATGGAGGTGGCCAGGCAGAGCTGGGCTGGGCGAGAGGTAGATGGGGCGAGAGGCAGCACCAACGGTGGGCACTGGCGTGGAGAGAAAACGCAGCAGCGAGAGGGCCTCATCGAGCCAGATGGCAGCACGCACGAAAAACGGAACGGTTTGTTAGCATGTGATTAATTAAGTATTATGTATTTTCTAAAAATAAGATAATATGATTTTTAAGCAACTTTTAAAAAAAACACACCGTTTAAGTTTGAAAAGCGTGGACACGGAAAATAACGGAAATGAGTTGGAAAACCTGCAGGGGTAAGAACATAGCCTTGAGCAAGTTTATAGTATAACCCACTACTAGCTTCAATACATCTATAGTCAATCTAATAGCCAATTCATACAATAGTTGTTTACTATACTATTAATATATGGTCCTACCTGTCATACACACATTGTCTCTTGAAGTCCACGCTGCAGCTAGCTACAGATCTGTAGTCCGCTGCTATTCTTTCTCATCTTTTATCTCACGAAAATATATTTATAGCCGACTAATAGTCTGCTATTGTCAAGCAACTAAGTTTGGAAAACCATACCAATGAAGCTTCAACCTGTACTTATTAAAGGCCTTAAGTAGGATGCAAGCGGACCAACCCGTAAACCCAATTATAGGTTAAATAAGTGGTAACCCATAGGTTCTCGCGTCGTAGCCTGACTGGTCTCATCTATGAATACAAGTGAAATAATCCATAAATCCACTTATAGGTCAAATTTGTAGATAACCCGTGAGTCAATCCATAGATTACTCACTAATATTACCTACAAGTGGTTTCGCGGGTCAGCCCGCTTGCATCCTAGCCTCAACTATGACTCAGTCTCACAGGAGCCCCACTACGGTGCTCTCTATTGGTACTAGAAAATAATCTAAACCTTAAAATCCGTCTGAAAAATATATTTTCACATGCGGTCCCTTAATAGGTCCATCTATAAAAATAAACTCATTTGCGCATGTGGCCCCTTAAGAGGTATGCCTACGGAAATCGACTTTTGTACGTGAGCCTCTTAAGAAGTCATATACGGAAATGGATGTCGATTTTTACAGACGCCGTCAATTGCAGTCCGCATGCAACCTAGCGGGGGTCTCATACAGAAAAATCGTTTTTAAAAAACATGACTTTTATTGTACAAATCTATCAAAATGTCACTAGATAGTCCCATTCACTTATTCCTAAATCCTAATGGATGCATGTCGTGTAATTCTGGCGTGTGGCGACGTGGACTCCTATGGTTGTGTTCCTTCTCTAATAAGGGTTGGATTAAATTTCGTTCCTTCTCTAATAAGGGTTGGATTAAATTTTAGATATTCATAGCACATTTTTTAAACTGCTAAACGGTGTGTTTTATACGAAAACTTTCTATATGAAAGTTGCTCTAAAATATCATATTAATCCATTTTTTAAGTTTATAATAATTAAAACTCAATTAATTACACATCATTACCACCTCGTTTTACGTGAAATACTTAATATTTATATATTCATATTCAGGAGATTCAAATACCTCCATAAATTCGACCAATAACGATTTCTGCTGGCCGGAGACCCAGCCGTTGACATATATAAGATTTACCAACAGGCGCTCCGTTGATGTTTGCAAATTTGATACGGGGGCCTTGTCAAAAGATGGCCTTTTAAAGAAAGGGGAAACCCAAGAATGGCCGAGGTAACATCTCTTTTTTTAATAATGGAAATGGGTTATAACTCTGGCCTTTGCTCGTAGACACATAGCCAAAAAGTCCAGAAGTGAACAGAAAAGAGGTTAAAAAAGGTGAGATGGGACAAACCCCAACTTCTGCCGATAATACGATCTACTAAATCAATGTTTTTTAAAATCACGTAGATTCTATCACGAAATTCTATAGGTACTACACCATCCAACAATTGGAGTAAAAGTTCCTTAGCTACCAATTCCAAGCGTGTAGCACCATTGCAAATAGTATCATGTTGTTCGTGTGAAAGCATCATACACCAAGAGTAGAGCCAATTGGAATATATGAAGATAACCTGCATGATGTTAGGCATTTTTTTATGGTTAAAAACTATATCATTACAGCAACGCCAAATTGACTAACATAGAACACTAGCTCTAAATAAAATCATTTTTTTTGGGTCTAGGCACTCCCCTTAGCCAGTTACCAAAAATATCTTTTGCATTGTGGGGAGGGGGATATTGAAGGCAAAGAAGACACATCGCCAAGCAAAATGTGCAACATGACAGTCAAAGAAAAGATATTGGATGGTCTCTTGTGTATTACAAAAACAACATTACTTGTTTCCCCTCTATTTTCTCTTTATGAGGTTATCTTTCGACAAGATTACTTTTTTTGAAGGAACCACATAAATACTTTGATTTTTAGTGGTACCTTTACCTCCCATAAGATTCTCTTGTGGATTCTTACATTGGAATTGATGATGGTATTATACATGGATTTGACTGAAAAATGGTCATTTTTATGTAGCGACCAAATAAAGCAATCATTTTCATTTGACAGGGTTATGTTAGCTAGTCGAGAAATCAAATTATTCCACTCAACTAACTTTGGTACTACAATTGATCGTCGGAATAAAACATTCAACGGTATTGTGCTCATAACCTCTGCCAAAGTAGAATGTCTCTTTCGAACCACATTGTACAGAGAAGGATATTGATATTTTAAGGGTTGCATGTGGATGAGAGGTTTAACATCTCTTGAATGAATCTTTGCTGGATAGCCAGTGATGTTGCATATAGCACGCACACAACTGGAAACTAGTAGATCTGCTCAAGGCAAAAAGTTATGTCCTAAGTAAAATCAGTTACTCCCTCAGGTTATAAGATGTTCCGATTTTGTTCAAAATTAAACTGTTTTAAATTTAACTAAATTTATAGACAAATATAATAATATTTACATTATCAAGTTAGTTTTATTAAATTAATAATTAAATATTTTTATAATAAATTTATATTGGATAAAAAATATTACTATTTTTTTCTATAAACTTGTTCAAAGTTAGGGCTTGTTTGGGGAGCTTCTAGCTGCCGCAGCTTCTCGCAGAATTAGAAGCTCCCCTAAACGGTTCAGCTTTTGTTCTAAGATTCTAATAAGATATAGTTGTAGAATATAGAAAATGAACTAAAAGACAAAAGTTGGGAAACCTGTCTACTAACAAGCTGCTTCTCAGAACCAAAAGCTCCCCTAAACAGACCCTTAAAACATTTTGACTTTGAAACATATCGTAGCCTAAAACGGAGGGAGTAGTAACTATTGACTAGTTAACTGTGATCGATTGTGCAGAGTTGTCAAAGTTACTGGCGCTAGCAGTCTAGCTTAGCTTGCTCCCCGTTGGAGGCGGTGTCGACGAACCTCCTCCAGAACCAGTGCTGCGCCCACAGCCTCCGGACCTGCTCGATGGGTAGGCCCTTGGTCTCCGGCAGCAGGAGGTAGACGAAGGCGGTCATGGCCACCAGCCACGCCGCGAAGAAGAAGAAGATGCCGGCCCTCATGCGGCACAGCGTGGCCAGGAACAACTGCGCCACCGCCGTCGTCATCAGGAAGTTCACCGCCACCGTGATGCTCTGCCCGGCCGACCTCACCTCCAGCGGGAACACCTCGCTCGGCACCAGCCACCCGAGCGGGCCCCACGACCACGCGAACCCGGCCACGTAGACGGCGATGAGGAAGATGAGCACCAGCGCGCACGTCTTGCTCACCTGCCCGTGGTCGCCCAGCTGGGTGGCCATGATGCCTCCGATCATGAGCTGTGACACCAGCATCTGGGCGCCGCCGACGAGGAAGAGCGTCCTCCGGCCGTACCGGTCGACGAGGAACATGGAGACGAACGTCGACGACGTGCCGACCAAGCCCGTCACCACCACCGACAGCAGCGACGCGCTCTCCCCCATTCCGATCGTGCGCAGCAGCACCGGCGCGTAGAACGAAATCGCGTTGATGCCGGTCACCTATACATTTTCGTTCATGCACGCCAATTAGCTGGTACGTACTAGTAATTAATACTCCATATATCGTCTACAATTTTTAGGTTTCTCTATAATTTTAAAGATGCGGTCGTCCACCTTTGCTCTCTTCCCACCTATATAAGCTTTGTATATCATCAACAAAAAGTATGAGTAGTATTTTTTAAAATGGGAAAAACCAATTAATCTTCTACAACACTGTTTTAAGTAGATAATATATAGATTTTAAGTAGACAATATATAGGACAGATGGTAAATCGGTTGTACTACTATCACAAAAATATGCCGCATATATAATTTTTAATAACTAAAAAGTAAATAATACTTTTTATTTCATATTTATATATAAGGTTTGTCATAAATAATATCTCGCATCACAAACTCAGGAATATAATAGTGTCGTACAATAAATTTCTACACTTCACCAATATACTTCACAAAATTTATGTTTCTTCCTTACCTAAGGGCAAAATGATCCTTTCCATAGAAATTGAACGGTCAAACTAACAAAAAAAAGGGTAACCAAAATTCGGTGCTATACATGAGAAATAGCAAAACTCAAGATATAAAGGGATTAGGTGAAATTTCAGTATACACATGAAATTTCTCTATTAAAAAAGTAGTAAATGAGTTGTGGTTGGTGGAGTAAACGGTGCTTTAAAAATGCTTATATTCAAGCATCGGTGGGTGGTCGATGATAGGCTTTGTGCTTAGGTGGTTTTCATTCAAGCTTAATTAAGTATATAGTATTTGTGGCTAGCATATGGTTAAAATTTTGTAATAATGGATGGTTGAGGGAATGCCTTATGCCGAGACCAGAATAAAAAAAAAATTCACATATCTAAAGAAAACAGGGGATGAGGAGTGACCTGTTGGAAGAAGGGTATCATGATGGCCATGACGAGCTGGGGACGGTACTGCCGCTGGGTGACGATCATCTGCAGGCCGCGGCTGCTGTTCGCCTTGTCGCTATTGGCGGCCACAATGTCCTCCAGCTCGTCCTCCACGTCGCTGACACCTCGGATCCTGGTGAGAAGCACCCTAACTCTGCGCTTGTCTCTGCCTTGCTGCAGTAGGCTGTTGGGCGTCTCCGGGAGGAAGAGCGCGCCGAGGGTGAGCAACCCGCCGGGGACGGCGGCGACGGCGAGCGAGACGCGCCATCCCCAGCCTTGCCTGATCTTCTGCGTGAAGAAGTTGGTGAGGCGGGCAGTGACGGCGCCGATGCCGACGCAGAGCTGGAAGCCGTTGCTGAACGCTCCTCGGTGCAGCGGAGGAGCCATTTCCGACAGGTACAGCGGCACGGCCTGTGTGTACGTGCAATATAGTGCGCGTTACGAATGACAGGAGGGCAAAAACAATGGTACAACGTAAAGCATTTAGGAGAAGATGTCGGATTTTATATGGCACTGAGGAGAGAGAGAACATTTTGTTACTATATTTGTTAATCAACAGATCGGGACAGATTAATACCATCCACAGTATTGTATACGTTTATCTTTCAAATTAAATCATTAATTATTCGAATATATTTGAAATAGCCAAACCAATGACCGGCTATATGCGCTGTCTGGATTTTACTACCACTGCAACTTTATCTGTCGCTGTACGTTTTGATCATCCATTTGCTTTTCATCCATCCACCGAACCACAACCGCTAAGAGCAAGGCTAATAATATAGCCGATCTGTTGGCTATAAGATTCTTTATAGTCTTCTCTCAGCCTACCCATATAATAGTTAGCTCTTCACAATTAATATAGGGCCTACTTGTCTCTCTCGCAGAGTTTCTTGGTTCTTGTGTCTAAGCCGGCTGTAAGTTTACAGCCCGCTTCTCCTCTCTTCTCTCCTCCACCTCAGCATTTAGCCGGCTTATAACCTACTACTATACTTGCTCTAAAGTTGCAGTTGTTACTGCAACTTTATCGGATCTCAATCCTTGCTGCATGGCTAGGTGTGAAAAGGCTATGCCCCTGGTTTCTTGGGCTGGTTCTTGGGATGGGACTCGCACCGGACGCCAAGCCATCCACATGGGGAGGAGGACGCCCCCGCCACCCACGGAAGCCATGGTCCCACCGCGTCACGAAACGTGCAGCACCGTCGTGTCCGCAACGAGGTCCTACGGTACGTCACGCGATCACCTCCGTCGCACCACAATGCGACGACCAAACCATGAACCCGTAAGTCCGTAACCCGAGCGCTGCACGCGGTGTCATCGCCAACACGGGCAACGTCGTGCGCCACAACCGTGCCAACGAACTAGACGTTGTGCACCACGGAATCCACGACGAATTCCATGGGCCTAGGGCGGTACACCGACCGCGGATTCCTCAACGAACTCCACGGCCGCGGGCGGGACACCGTTGTTTGTGGACTCGTGGGCAACGTCGAGCAGGCAGCGAGGGTGGCCAGTTGCAAGAGTGCGGTCCCCGGAGGGGCCACAGGCGTGTGCGGGGAAAGAGGGAAGATAGGAGAAACATAGAGAGAAAGAGAGAGAAGTGAGGAAGAATTGAAGATGAGATGGGGTGAAAGTCGCTGACACGTTGATCCCATCTGTTGACTCAATAAGTCAACCACGATCAACCTGTCACGTTAGTATAAACCGCTTCTTAAATCACTAAATAAAGTTGTTTGCCTGGTTTTTGGAGATGGATAAGGTGTTAATACCCGGATATATTTATGGTTTAGGGTAGCCGATTCAATCCGAAGCAAGACTGAAGGGATGCGAAGTAAACTTGTTACTTTCGTAAACAGTGAGCTCAATTCCTAAGCCTGGATGGTTTGTTTCCAACAGCTCAATGGAAGCCCATTATTTGGAGTGCTCATCTGTTCGAGCCTAATTAATCTGCACAGCCTATTATCTACAGGGCCGAAAATCAAATGCAAGAAACGTTTTTGAAGCCCATTTGCCAGACAAAATGTTTAAGATATTATGTGCACCTGATTGCCGAAGCCCAGCCCGACGCCGAGCAGCACCCTGCCCAAGATCACCATGGAGACATTCACCGCGGTTCCTCCGATCGCTGAGCCGGCGAGGATCGCGCTCCCCGCGATGACCATCGACGGCCGGCGGCCGCACCTAGCGGTGACTGACGAAGCCAGGAAGGTGGTGAGGAGGCCGGCGATGTAGAGCGATGACGTGAAGGCGGTGAGCAGCTCGCTGTCGAACTTGCAGTAGTTGCTGACGCTAGTCCCCTTCATCCGCCGGTATACCTCCGGGAAGAACATGCTCAGGAATCCGTCCATCGAGGTCACACCACCTGCATATACCAGCCATGTCATCGTCCTCGTTCATCGTGCTCGAATCACGGTGTTTGCCGCGCTTGTTCGATTGACCGATTTGTAATTGTAAGCACGCACCAGAGACGCCGATGTCATAGCCGAAGATGACGCCTCCCATGCCCGCGGTGATGCAGGAGAGCACGACGAAGGTGGTGACCCTTCCACCATAGCGGCGTGGAAGATCCTGGCTATCGGGAACTGTGCCGACCGCCATGGCCGAGAGAGCTTGCGAGAGCAGCGTGCGAGGTCGTTAGTACTAGCTAGCTTACCTAGGCACCATATGGTCATTACATGCTTATCTTGTTGACGAACATATGTGGATGGTGGAGGATGAACTGGGGCGAGACGAACGAGAAAATTCCAAAACTAACCTCTCATACGTTGTGTTTCTTTCCAGACTGTTTTTTTTTTTCAAAGCAAACCAACGGTACAAGATCTAGTTGGCCCTGTTTATAAGTAAAACTAGGCCCGAAAACCATACAAATACACCGCTTACTATAGGGAAGCTGGCGTAAACATACACAGAATACAAGACAAAAACATGTGGCGAAACAACTATGAAACACAACGACAACCGAGGGAAGAGCGGGATCTTCAAGGCAAGGTCTCCAAGAAGGGAAGCAACGACAAAACCAATGTCAACACTTGCTCGAAATTGGACTGGGTTTTCACCCAAAGAGAGAGAGACAATAAAGCAATACCTCCAAGGAGGAATCGGCACCCACAGGCGTCGATGTCGCCGGTCATGGAAAACCAGGCAGGGCTTTCGCCCGAGACTCTCTCAAAAACTGCAAGACCTCCAAAATGCCAGAGTGTAAGTGTTGGGTGTTATCGTTGTCCACCTCATCGGCTAAACCCAATGCAGCAACTCCAACTCCAGCAAAACACGAAAACTCTAGTATTGTAGAGAGAATGCAAGCCGCTCCAATCTAGGCATTTTCCGGACTGTTTGCAGAACAAATTAAATCAAACCGGCGTTTTGACCGAATTGAGGATGGCATTTGTTTGGTTTTCCTCAAGAATCGTCCCTAGTTTTCCATGGGCCGACAAACTGGACATATTCTACTTAAAAACCACTTAACCTGTGATGAAAGCTACTTCCTCCGTTTGAAAATATAAGGATTTATAGGAATTAAATTTCATACATAATTAGGAAGAAAGCCCGTGCTCATGAGCGGGAAATTTATATGTTGTTTAAGAAAAACTAAAGAAGTCATATCTCACCATATTCACTAAAAAACAATAGATTTCCTAATAATCGTAAAAGAAATAAGTATTTATATTGTCCCGATTATATGTAAACTCGCCTATCAGCATCCTTCGTAAAATATATGAGTTAATATATTTTTTGTTTTGAAAATTTTTCTTTTGTTATACATCTGATTCACCTATGCTAGGCATGTTCAAGAGTAATATATGATGGAATAAACAATATTGTCAAAATTATTTGTGCTAATTGTTAACACTGTTTAGATGAGAATGATGTCGACGATCTATATCGCGACTATGGTATTTGGAAGTATCAGGAATCGTTGATGCCAAGGTATACGCGAGATTGAGGTAAAAGAGACAGGAGACAGGGATTTTTATACAGGTTTGGACCCCTTAACTGACAGGTAATAGCCCTACTCCTGTTGGCCGAAGCCAGTGCTGCTCTTTTATATCGGTATCACTTGAGTACAATATTTGGTATGACCTAATCTAGTTGGCGTTGGCTTGGCGACACGGATCTCCAACATGTAGTCGACGGTTAGGGTAGTCTTCTTCTTCAAATATAAACTCAGCGAGATTGGAGGTAGCACTAGATATATTCCTTATGTTGGTCTTTGTTGCTTTAGGTTGGGTATGTCTAGGCTTATGTTGTTATCTATTGGCTTGTTGGCGTGTCCGATCCCCTCTACTTCTATGGGGTATTGTATTTATACCCACATGTCTGCTTATCTAAGTAGAACTAGGGAGATAAATATAGATACAATCCAAGTAGTCCTTGTAGTTTCCAATTGAACTCTGCTTCTCCTTCCTTATCAGGAACACCTTCCGTATATGAGGTATAATTATGTATAAGATTTGGTATAAGGTGGGCCCCACCGAACCCAACCAAGATCATTGGGTATGCCTTATCCATAACATTGACAACATTGACAGTAGCCCCAACTTCAATGTAAATGAACTAATTGATGCTCTCGACCGAAGACCTTGAAACAATAGTAGTTGAACTCACATAACCGTTCTCGGACGACCGAGAAGGTGTGAAGTATGCGACTAAGTTCCTTGTCCAGTCTTGATCAAGAATTTGGATTGAAATCAAAAGCTTCCATCACAACGGGTATACAATCGCTTTATCCAGTAACACTTGTGGCACCCAACCAATCAGATCAGGAGCGACGGCTCGTCTTGAGAGGCTGCTGCTGCTCTCATCATTGTAGCGTTTGTGAGCTCGGTTGGTGCCTCGTAAAGACTGGAGCTAGCTGTTGCTTGCTTCTCTTTCTTCGTATTAGTGAATCGTGTCCCGTGGTCTCCTTCGCTATGCATGTCTTTGTCACGGCAGATCTATCGTATCCTTCTAGGGGTTCTATTGTTCTTGTTAGCTTGAGATTTATGAGTTTTTGGGTTCGGTTACCTGTGTATATGTCTGAAGTCCGAATTGTCAGTCAATTCTTTTCGTAAGAGAAATATGTTCTTTTAGTTGTATTTGGAACAGTTTTAGAACCAGTGTGTGCTACTCATCAATGATCAGTTCATCACCAACTGACTGTCTCGAATCTGTTCCATCAACTGATAGGTGAGAAGATATTCATCCATTAGCTACATGACAACTAGTTTTCTTCAATAAACTTGAACATAATCTCTGCCACAAAGAGACTCGACAGCAGTGGCACTGCAGCAGCCTCTCCGGATGCGCCGTTGCTCCGGATCGCCGTCTTCGCCAGTGTGCTGTCGATTGAGCTCGTCATCTCCACCGATGCGTCGTAGTCGCCACCTCCCAATACGAGCGCCGCTTAATGCTAGATCTAGAATGGAATGAGTGATTATTTTTTTTCTTTTTGGCAAAATGGAATGCGTGAGTGAAGAATAGAGTTGTGGAGATGTCTTTAATTTGTAAAATGTATGTGGAGGAGGTGGGCGGCTAATTGGAAAGTACCACGCTCGGAGTATTGGACGCAGGATGTTGATCCAATGGCTCACGTGTGTGCATGAGTGCATCTAACTAGTTGTGTACTTGTGTGCATCGGATCACTGCTTGTTAACACAACTAGAAAAGTAGCCCGCGCATTTGCGCGGGCATGTATTTTAGATTGTATTTGAAAAACTTATATAGACGGAGTATGAACCGGATGACACCTGTCATGTTTAAAAATCACTATTTCTTCATAAATTTTCTTCATCATCGTTGCTTAGATAATTTTTTAAAACTATTTGTTAGCTTTTAAATACATAATATTTAATACATCGCTATAAATAATTTGTAATTATCTATGATCGATTTTGGGAGGTGATTTTTTCTTAAAGATAATTATAGGGTGTTGCAATATCATAGAAGATGTATCCATAATACAGACATACTTACAGTAAACATCGGTTTTTATCTGTAAATTTATTATTACATGAATAATCTAACAACATAAACTTATACTACCACATAAACATGGATAGATACCGCTTGGGAACCCGGCTAGGTGCTGAGTTTCTCAACCGGCACCTAGGAAGCAGCACAGATGAGGGAAATCGGAGGTGCCGGTTCTAAAACTGGGATCTTTGAGGTCCTAGGAATAAAAAAAAAGGCATCGAGCAGCTCCCCTGCACCCTGCCCAGAACACATCGAAGAACATCAAGAACATCCAAGAACACATGAACATGAACATCAATAATATTCTTCCCAGCCACCGGAAACCAAGCTACTCATCCCCATCAAGAACACAATCACAAAATACACATCAAGAACATATAGATAACACATAGAGTCACCGCTCGACACCACCGCCGATGCCGCCACCTCCTCGTGGGGAGGGCACTACCGTTGCCCGCTGCCTCTCCTCCCGTCGGATCAGGCGGAGGAGAGGACGCCACCGCCGCCGCCTCCTCCTCCCTGTGGAGAGGGCACCACCGATGCCTGCCACCTCCCGTTGGGCACCACTGCCTCCCCTTCCCCGGATCTGGTGGAAGGGAGGGAGCTGCCGCTTCCCGCCGCCTCCCCTCGGGCGCCGCCGTCTGCCACATCATCCCCGTGGAGAGGGCGCCACCGTCTCCCCTCCAACCGGATCTGGTGGAGGGGAGGACGCTACCGCCGCCGCCAAGCCAAGAGAGAGGAGCGCGCGAAAGATAGAGATAGAGAGAAAAGGAGAGGAGCACGAGAGAGAAAGAGCGAGAGACTCTCGGTCTTATCCGCACGAGAGAGAGAGGTACCGATCCCTCTCAGCCTTATCCGCTTGAGACCACCGGTCGGCTCGACTCGGTTTTTTAGTGTCGTTTTTTAAAAGCCGATATATTGAAGGTGTCGGTTTTTAATTAACCGATACTTATAATAAATTAAAGGTGTCAATTTTTGTTATAAAACCGACACTTATATTATAAAAAGACGGCACCTATATTCTATTAAAGGTGTCAGTTTTTTGTATTTTCAACCCAGAGAGGTGGGAAATGGTCTATAGGTGCCGGTTTTAGCACTTCCGACAACTATAACATCGATTTCTATCTGTCTTTTTAGTAGTGTGATCAAAACATGTATGTATGATTTAGTTACTATATAAATAATCTAGCAATATAAGCATATTATAATTCTTTTATGATTTAAATGCTATTGTTGCCTAAATATTTTTACATAAATTTTGCTTTTTATTAGAAGAAGGAAAATAGGAGAGATAAATAGATAATAGAATGAAAAGAGAATAATGGGAATAGGAGCGTACAGAACATAAGCATACGTGCGTCCGCACGAATACAGTGGGGCCCAAGTTAGCGGTAGATTAGAATTGGTGGATTACTTTTTTTCTACATCTAATCTGTAAAGGATGGACCCACCAATTTAAATAAAAATTAAGGGCTAGATGTTTCTTTGCCATGTGGCAGCCTAGGAGCGTTTGTAGAGTGCCACGTGGCGATATGGGAGCGTTTGTAGGAAGTTTAATGGACTTTTAGTATATATATATATATAATATATAATAGATAGATAGATAGATAGATAGATAGATAGATAATAGATAGATAGATAGATAGACTAGGAAGGTAGCGCGTGCCGTGGACACGTATTTTAAGATGTGTTTGACATACTTATAACTTTAAGGATGGAATATTAACCATAGAACACCTGTCAGGCTGTCACGCTTAAAAAAAATCTCCGTACAACTTTTTTTTGTCAACAGCCTATAATTTTTCTAACCTGTTAGTTAGCTTTATATCATATAATATTTGATTAATCCC